GAGGTGGCAGTAGTACGTTACAAAGAGAATAAAAAGATAATAAAAGTACAGAGTGAGAAACTAATATAAGACCTCCAACACTTCAATGTACTGAGAAATTAACATTTTACCTTTTTGTAATCACAGGATGCATTAAAAAAACTGCAATCTGTTATGAAGCAAGAACGTTGTGAATTACTGCAGTGATAAGTGAAATCTCAAACGCTCTGTTTCTGTCAGAATTCAGAAACAGTTGTTGACATAGGAAATATATTTGCTGAGTTATAAGCTGTGGATTGCATATTAGTCATTTTTTTGGCACATCAGAATTCAAGGTCAACCGTGCAAACTACCATGTAGTTAATTTTGATTACAGGTCTGATTGATTTTAATATCAATTACCCGTGCGACTCTGATGACCTTCCTTCATAACAACACAGTATTAAGCACAAGCTGTGCTGACTTCAAATTATACAACGGATGAGCTTTAGAAACTGAAAATATATTGTAATTAAATACAACTAATGTTTATCATAACCTTTTGCTATGCTAAACTGAGTTTGTCAACATCTACAGTGTAGCAGTTTCGGGATTTAAATTAGCTTTCAAATCTCATTTGTGTCATTTTTTTCCTCCTTTCTCTGTTGCTCACTGAATTGACATTATGCAATTATGACAGTGTCTCAAGACTCCTGAGGACGAATTTGCATAATAAACATTTCCATAAAGGTTGTAGCTGACATCATCACAATGACTGGGAGAGGAGATTCCTCCCCGTCACCTGCTGTTATTACACATTAATCCTCCAATTCCTGAGCCAGCTGTGACGGGTTTGCTTTTGATGTCGAAAAACAACGTATAGCGATATTAAGGAGTCTTTCCTCTTTGGTTATTGCTTTTTGGGATTTGGCATCCTAAATCCCTCTGTGGTGCTGCGACTGACTAAGGCCTATACATATGAATGAAGATTTACACATCAGGCTCAAAGAGTTTGCGTTCAATCAGACGCCGCTGCTCTGAGGGTTGAGCTGAGGAGTAATATCCCAGCTTCAGAGCGCCCAGATTTTACTTTCCCTCAGACTTTGTTTTATTCTCGTCTGCTTTCATCCATTGAGACATTTTGTCTGTCTAAAAGTCCTTGACTAACTCATTTGCAAAAGTAGCGTATCTCCATTTTTGCGCACTTCTGCTAAAATGCTTAATTAGGGGTGAGGGAAGTGTGCTATTTCTGGACTCTGACCACTCAGAACTTCTTAACAACCACATAGCAAACTATCAATCACACCGAGCACGCTAGCAACAGGCTAGCCTAGCAATCTTAGAGCAACATACAAAAAAACTCAAAGTGCAAGGTAAATAATTTGAGCATCTGCATAGCAACAGTGTAACCACTTGTAGAACACCCTAGCAACCACCTAGTCTTTAGGGCTCATTCTGCCCATTACAGCCCTTATAAGCGTAGCCTTATATACAATTCTAGAGATCACAAAATACTTCCCAGGAGAATACTTTCTTGCAGTTTTTTTGTTTTCGTGAATGTATCAGAGACCACTGTGTATGCATTTGAGATCTCAAATTTCTTATTCGATGGCCATTCACGCCTGCTGTTCTCACATAAATCCACCAGAAGCCACTGTTGACTGACTCACTGAAAACCAACCGACCAATACCCCAACCACACCTGCCCCTAAACCTAACCGAAAGTGTTTTCAAAAGCATCAATTGACCCGCCCACTCCTTCCCTAAACGCAACCGACAGTTTTTTTTAAAAAAGCAATCTAGAAAAAGAAAAGCCCACCTGTTTTTTTTTTTTTTTTTTACCACATTTTTCAATTTTACCACATAGTCACCCTGATATTTACTTGGTTGGTATTATCTTTTGGCTTCTGTTTTTGTTTTACCTGCTTTCTAGAGTAGTTCTTTACCTGACTCCCCAACATCACGGTCAACTCTTCTCTGCGTCTCAAATCTGCTGACGTACATAGCGAGCTAAAGGGACAAACTTGTAACATCAGGTAAGTTGTTCATCTGGAGTTAAGTGGTAAGCTGCTAGCGTGAAATGGAGCGTGTCATACAATCCCCGTAGCGTTAGTTTTGAAGACAAAATCCAGCCATACGTTCTTCTGGCTATATAATTTGTTTTTAATTTCCAGACCTGTATGTAGGGCTATGTTTTCAGAATGACCCTATGTTGACAGTAACAAGCTGAATATCAATAATAGAAATTGAACAGTTTACAAATACTCTTCTGATTTGAATGTGCAATTTGGAATACCTGGCAACCACTACATTTCACCTGTAGAACACCCTAGCAACCACCAAGCCTTGATTGATAGCCACCAAGTATACCTTTTCAAATTCATATCAACACTTTTTTTTTCTTTTCTTTTCTTCTTTTTTTTTTAGATAATAACCTGCTAACCATTATTGCTTATTTTTGAACAGTTTCCAAAACTCCTCTGATTGACAACCACAACACTTCAGTATTTGCATAGTAACAATGTAACCACCAGTAGAGCAC